TCACTATGTTCAAAATTATAAAGCCATCTTTATCTTATTTCACTCTTCCTGCAGCGTAGTTGTACAGCATAATCATGTCACCTCGGCAGAGTACTATTCATTCTTACAACTTATTCAAGTGAAGTTACTGCACTACACAAAATCCCTAAAACATTTCTGATAACAGTTCTCTCCCTGCCCCGTCAACTTTACCCTTGAGACACTGGAAAGGGAATTCCTCATTGTTAGCGTCACCGGAAAATAAATCATTATAGTCGTACAGGTCCCCAACTAATAATCAGCTCACTGACACTGATATTTAAAGCCATCACGGTCGGGGAAATTCATGAATCAATTGAACTAATAAAAAGCATTATACCCATGTTTCCCAGAGTGTGTGTTAACCTTCAAGCGAGCCCTAGGCGTAAGTTTGGATGCCTGTTTTCAATGTTTTCAATGCATTTTATCTCGTAAAGTAATTTGAAGTAATATTTTCTATAAAATTCCTTGCTCAGATATTCATGAAAAGCTTTATTAGTGACATACGAGTATATGGTCCTCACAGCCGGCCCATCGATCTTATGACTATTAAACTTATTTGTATTGAATTTCATTGCCCCATATTATGTGACTCAGTAGACACTGTAAAATAGGAAGTTTTGCATGCACGGTTAAGACCCCTAAAATAGTTAATATCTTCATGACTGTAAAATTAATACTTAACCCCTGTGAATGTGTGTGCGTGTGTGTGTGTGTGTGTGTGTGTGTGTGTGTGTGTGTGTGTGTGTGTGTGTGTGTGTGTAGGTATATGTGTGTATATGTGCGTGTGTATGTGTGTGTGTGTGTGTGTGTGTGTGTGTGTGTGTGTGTGTGTGTGTATGTGTGTGTGTGTGTGTGTGTGTGTGTGTGTGTAAGTGTGCGTGAATGCTTGTGTGTCTGTGTGCACAAAACTCAAATATACCTTTATCAAGAAGTGATGTTCATAAGGCAGCTAGATAGTTTCAGTTCATTCACTGTCTTCAGCACTGACGTCCCATGCCCGCCCCTTGTGTCCGCCACAGGAGCCGCCAGTGTGGGCGCATCTGTACACCGGGCCCGAGCAAACAGGCGCGCGCCTTACCACCGAAGACTACCTGAATGACCTTCTACTGCAGGACTTCGACGATAAGGCCTCGTCCTACTGCGTCTCCGGAGTGTAAGTGGCACACAACGAACTCAAATATTTGGGAGATCGGTTCGCTGTGTGCGCCGTCTCGCCTCACAACGTCAGGCAAATACAGGGGCTCGTCTTTAGTACTGTTATCAAATTCTCTTTCGAACAAGCATCACCATCATCATTATCGGTGCTATCGTTTTTATCAGAATCACAATTTAATTATAACTGCAATGTTCGTCGTCTCCATTTTGTTTCTATAATAATAATAATAATAATAATAATAATAATAATGATAATAAAATGATAATAATAATAAAATGATAATAATAATAAAATGATAATGATGATTACAATAATAATGATTCTAATGATGATGATGATGTTAATAACAAGGATGATAATAATGATAATAATAATAATGATAATAATAATAATAATAATAATAATAACTATAACTATTATATTGTATCACTGAAATCATTATTATCATTTCCATTATCATAATCATTAATCTATATTATCCTTAACATAATTATCTATTGATATCATTATCATTACCTATTGATATCATCAAGGATAACATTAGTACCATCATTGTCATTGCAAGGTTATTATTATCATTATCAATATAATGTCATTGTTAATATCATTATTACTATTGTTACCTTTCCTACCATTATTGTTGTTATCGTTGTTATTATCATAATTATCATTTTTATTTCTATCGTTATTGTTATCATCATTATTATTATTATCATTACTAGTATCATTATCACCATCATTATTATCATCATCATCATTATCATAATAATAATAATGATAACGATAATAATAATAATAATAATAATAATAATAATAATAATAATAATAATGATAATAACGATGATAATTATAACGATAACAATAAGGATGATAATGATGATAGTAATGATGATAATAATAATAATAATAATAACAATAATACTAACAATATTAATGATAATGTGATGATAATGATTGTCATTGCTATTATTACCATTATTATCATAAGTATTATTATCATAATCATAATCATTATCTTTATCAATATCAGTATCATCATCGTTATTGTTATCCCCCTCCTCCTCATCATCATCATTATCATTACCCTCATCATTACCTTTATCATTATAATTATTGTTATTATTAGTAGTATGATTATTAGTATAGATATTATTATTTTTTTTACTAATACCATTACTACTCTCATCATTATTATAACTTTTCAATTATCTTCATTGTTATTATCATTATTGTTATAACTTACTATTATGATTAGTATCCTGAACATTATTACCGTTATCATTAATTTAATTCCTTTTTTATCATTAATTGTCATCACCATCA